CAAGTGAGGCATTCTTATAATATATTTACTTCTTCCTTCATGCATTTGACAAATATTTAGCAAGCACCAATTTTGTGCTAGATATTGAGCAATACAGTGTGTGAACATGAAGATGAATTGGCTACATTAGCTCCCTATCATGAAGTAATTCACAACTTGTTAGAGGAGGGAAGTTTTCAACTTGACTATTTAAGCAAATAAAGGGGTAGCATGAGTAATAAATGCCACAAAATAGTATAAACATTGTCATTCAGATATGAAAAAGGGACTTATCACTTCTAGATGGAGTAATTAGAATATAATTTGTCAAGCTTCAATATCTTCTGTGGTGTCTGAAAAAATGCATAAAACTTTGTAAGGCTAAGCTCCTTATTGATTCATTCTACTAGAAAAGAAGTGTGCAGAGGGAAAACAATGAAGAACAATACTCATTTGTGGACTGATAATTTGTCTGCTTTGGTAAACCACGGATGGACATCTAGCTATAAGAAACTAGGTCCCAATCTGATAAACTGAGGAGTCTGCAGTGATTTGTTTGTCAATAGTTTTTCTCTCAGTACACAATATGAGTTATTGGAAAATTTTACAGAGTGAAATGCTATGCTTAACTTGTTTTAGGATGTGATCTTACAAACAAGATATGTAAGAATCTGAAAGATGCTAGAGACGTAGAAACTAGTTATGGAGATGTCTTGAGAATTAGGTGAGAGGTCAAAAAGAAGCGAAAAAATAAGACTATAGGGTAGTCAGGAATTCAAAAGCTGTTGTGAAAGAAAAATCAGTGGGATGTAGTACCTTGTTGGATGAAACATATGGGACGGAAAAATTACCACAAAGATTCTAAAGCACAGGGATTTTTGAGAAGAAAGCAATAAAAGATTGGCTCAGAAAGACCTCAGTTACAGGAGAAAGAACTCGAAGCAAAAAAAAAAAAAAAAAAAAAGAAGAGGGAGCAAAGTGAACAGTACCATATTTCTTATAGTGAAAGGTATGAAAGGTAAAAGACAGTAACTTCACAGAGTATTACAGCTGGGAAAATAGTGATGAAGAGCACAGAATTCTGAAAACAGACTTCTGAATCTGACTGGCTCTGCCACTTACCAGCTCTGTGACTATAAACTAGGGGCTTAATCTCTCCATCCTTCAGTTCTCTCATCAGTATATCAGATATAATACTAGTATTTACTGCATAAATTGAAGTGTTGGCATTCACTGAACAAGCCATGAATGCTATTGTATTTATAAATTCAGAGAAGATGAACTGAAGTACATTGGAGATATCATACATAGAAATTGGAATCTAATAACTATTTGTTCATTCATTTGACTGAATGTCTACCATGTGGTAGGTCCTGTTCTGGGTATTAAGTGATCAATTCCAGGAAAATGCTTGCTCTTAAGGAGATGTCAAAATATGGAAAGCAAAAATAAATAAGCACAAAAATGCAAGTAAGATAGCCATAGCCATTAATGAAGAAAAATGAAGCAGAATAAAGAGGGCAAAAGTGACCATTGATGCTTTGTTACTCAATAGTCAGGGAAGACATGCTTATAGATGAAAAGATTAACAAAAACATGTTAATATCTACACAAAGGGATTCCAGGCAAAAAGAAAAAGTGTAGTGTCTGAGCTAGGATGTGCTATCCAAGGAAAAGAGGGGGGGGGTGTGGGGGGGCGGGGGGGAGTGGGGGAGAGGCGGGAGGGGGGAGGGGGGGGGGGGGGGGGGGGGGGGGGGGAGGAGGGGGGGGGGGGGGGAGGGGGGGGGGGGGGGGGTGGGGGGGGGGGGGGGGGGGGGGGGGGGGGGGGCGGGGGGGGGGGGGGGGGGGGGGGGGGGGGGGGGAGGGGGGGGGGGGGGGGGGGGGGGGGGGGGGGGGGAGGGGGGGGGGGGGGGGGGTGGGGGGGGGGGGGGGGGGGGAGGGAGGTTTACAATCAGGCTGCAATAGTTTACAATCAGGTAAACACAGAGACTGGATCATCAGTTCCTTGCAGAATGTGGTCTACATGTGATGAGGAGTGACAGAACTCTCAGACACATTAAAGGGCTTCTGCATGGCTAACTGACTAGAAGAACTAAAACTAAAGTAGAAGCTAATTATCAGTGTATGGCATAGTCCAGAAATGTGTAATAGATGGTGGGGCTTGGACAATGGCGAAGAAGTATAAACGGGTGCTGGATGTGTCTATAATCCCAGTGTTGAGAAACTGAGGAAGGAGAATTCAGAGTTTGAAGCCAGCCTGGGCTACAGAGTGGGGACATAGTCTCAACAAAACAAAACAGTGCAAACAAAACGAAAGGAACAGGGAAGAGAAGTAAAGATTAGAAGGAATGGTCAAATAATCTGAATCACATTTTGAAACCAGGAATTACAGGATTTGGTGAAAAAATTGAATTCAGAATGTAAGGAAATCTGAACAAAAAAGCACAAAACTATGGTTTCTGGTCAGAGTGAATGTATGAAGAATGGCACCATTTCTTGAAATGGGGAAAACTGCACAATGATGGAGGTGGGGAGAAGGAATTATGGAAAAGTAAGGTTACTGTTGTGAGCATAGTGACACGTCTACTAGAAAGTCATTTGGAGAAGCTGAGTTGATGGTTGATAGGAAGGTGATGTGGATTCTGGGAATAGATGAGGCTGGAGATAGTTTGGGATTCATCAGCATTCAGATAGCAATAAGGCTATTGATACTTGATGACATTATCTAAGATGCTAGTATAGATAAGACAAGAGACAAGCCTAAGAGGTGGTAGAATTGGTTCAGTGATAGAACACCTGCCTAGCCACCAAAAAAAGAAAAAAAATTAAAAAAAGAAAGAGAGAGACAAGCCTGAGACTTGACCGTTTTATTTAACAATGTGGGAATATTGATAACCTTAACAACTACGGTTTCAATGGAGAGCCACTGGGAAAATCTTATCAAAGTAAATTTTAAAAAGATGAGAGAATTAGTATAGACAAAACTTTAAAAGTTCTTTAGTAAAAGGGAGAAAATGGAGCTTTGATTGGAGGGAAAAATGGTCTCTTTTTTATTTTTAAATTCTGCAATGTTATTTGTTCATCGTAGACTTTTCTGTTAGTTGGAAAAATGCCATGGAAACCATCTCTTATTTTAAAGTTCACTAAGATTTTTCTTTATACATGTATGATATATTACTTGGATGTGCTGGAACCAATGAATCACACGCAGAATCAACAGACAAAGTTTAACACACACCCATAGCCTTACTGGAGTCAGTCATTTAATGTACTAGTAAGTGGGATTTTTATGAGTTTTCTTCTCCCTGAAATACAAGTTTTAAAAAAAACCTATCAAAGGGTGGGTACACATCTTAGTACTGGGAAGCAGCAACTTGGAGGTTGAATTGTACTTGAATAGACTAAAAGTTGCATTGTTACATGGTTAGAAAAAGTATGTATGAAAAATGATACCGAATACAGATAAACATGTGAAGATGTGATCATTTGTGATGCTATTGTAAAATATGTATACATACCTACCTTTTGAAGCATTGAAAGGGAAGTGTGTTTTAAGACAGGAGTTAGGAGTGAATAGGGATGCTTATGTGCGTACTGGAGTGATAAGTGAGGAAAGAAACTGATGATGTAGAAAAGAAAAAAGGATAATCCCAAATGAGTTCCCAAGTGGGACCACAGACAGGTCAACCAGATTTGATGCAAAAATAAGAATACCATTTTCCGAATACTTCTCTCTTAGTGAGATAAGAAAAAAGATCATTAGTTAAGCATGGCAAAAGGGTGGAAGTAGTGATATGTGAAAAGTCAGAACAAATATGACATGCCTCTCATAAAAAGAAACAATGAACTGACAGAGAATTGAAAGTGCTCATATATACCCAGTAGGTAGGCTAGGTATTTTTCTTCAGACATATTTATCTGTTATGACACACTCTAAGAATCAGCAGAGTGTGTAATTTAATGATGGTTGACTTTTTTTGGTTATATGAATAAGATGAAGAAGGAGGACCGAGGGAGATGAAACAGAAGATAATAAATGACAATAGATTCTAAGGTGAGTCTGGAGGGAAATGGGGGCATGAAGGATATAGGTTAGAGAGGGACAATGGCAGAGATAATGAATTGGAGGTCCTAAGGGACTGAAGAAATGTTGCCAAGGGGGCAATAACATAAGTGAACAGAAAACTAATAATAGGGTGATAGAAAGAAGCATGATAGAAACTGACACTTTGATTTGGTTTGGTATGACATGGAATTGATGAACTGATGTAGGAAAGAGCCAATATCATTGTAGGTAATATAAAGGAACTAACAGCTCAGGGTATCAGATGGATTATCTGCATGAATAGTGTAATTACCAAGATTGATCATAGAGATAATTGGAAAGGAAGTGATCCCCAGATGCTAATATCTTCTGTGAATGTGGGAGGGAGACAGAAACCTTCCACGAGGAGGGGGTAATAGTGAAAGTTTGACAACCTTTGCTTCAAGGGAGCTATATTATTTCAGTATGAAAACTGGACCTATTAAAAAGTCTTAAAATTATTATTATGTATTATTAGGATTTTTATAAATTATTGTTTATAATTTTTATAATTTTATATTTCAAACTATAATTTTTGTCAATTTGTACTTCATTCTTATAAATTACTAGAATTATATCAAAAATATATAGTAGATAATGTTATAATAATGTTATTAGAATTATATCAATAATATTGATGTACATTTTGGTTTTTTTACATAAATTCACATTTTTTTACATAAATTCATATTTTTAGAAATAATTTCAGAAATACGTATCCATCTATTTGCTAACAGACTATTAAATTTTACAAAAATATAATTATACACTACAAATTATGATTGTCATTATAAATAACATGGTCCTAGTCATTCTTTTTTTTTTGCCTTGGAAGTTCAGAGAGAATTCTAACTGGTTCTGATAATTTCACATTTTACAGAGAAGCTGCAGATGAAAAGAATTTCCTTTTTTCATAGAGGGACCAAGTTTTACGCACCAGGATTGCTGGGCGGGGCCTCCATGGGAATCAAGAGCTTGGCCCGCGTGGCCCGGCGTGCAGCCAACGATCTCTCTAGAGTGGACATGGAGCTCCCGGCTTCTTCAGTGTCTTGCCCTAAAAATATATATGTATATATTCTTAAGAAACATGCCTTCTTCAAAAGTGAAACGCTTACATGATTTCTAGCCAGGTACCCAAATGGCTTTTTTTGTCTCACAGATGCTTTTAAATGGAGAGTATCTCTTTTCTTCCAAAGTACATTTTCATTGAACAAACCTTAATAAAATTAATCATGATTTCATTACCCAGAATATACAGAATTGATTTATATTTTCATGCTTATAATTTTTGCTTATGTATGTATGTATGTGTGTGTGTGAAAGAAGATATATTATTTATCAAAAATAACATTATACCATACATACTATTTTGTAATCTCCTGAAAAATAACATGAATATCTGTATTTATCAATAAGTAAGCCAGTAACATAATAGTTAAATAACATCCCACTGATTTAATTTTTAAAACATTATGCAACTAATAATTTGGGCTCAAAAACATTCAACCTTATTGCAAAAACACCCACAAGAAATAAACTACATTCTTTAAAGATAAAGATGGGCACATAAATTTAATGTGAATCCATAAAATGCCATAACAAAGCATGACTAAAATAAAAAGAATGAGACATGGATTTGAAAAGCTAGTAACAGTACACTTTAAGGAAAAAAATTGAACTCTGCGTACTCATCTGCATAACACACATAGAAAAGCATGTTGAGCACATTCACATTTGTGCATATGTGTCTGTGTGTGTACATATGTGTGCACACGTACATACATGACTAACACATGTGCAATAAAGTCACACATAAAGTGTTTAACATTACTTTCCTTGTATGCAAGGGATTAGGAATTTGGGATAGGGAAAGGCCAATCCAGCTTTTACACTTTTGGGTATTATTTTTCACAACTTTTTGTACGTTTTTTTAAAAAAAAGATGCATGCATTATTTTCAAATGAAATTACAATAAATGTTAAAATTAAAAATAATTCTTGGAGCATTTAAAAGATTTAGATTTTAAAGTGGCAACTTAAAAAAATTAACTTGGGGAAGAATAGAAAAATAAATTCTCTTTTTCTGTGGAAAATTTCATATCCAAAAAGTCAGTAAAAGAGAAAAAGAGTATGAGACTGAAAGTATTTAAAGCAATAAGGGCTGAAAATTCCTGAAAACTGGGAGCAAATCAATCATTATATAGAATCAAGAAATTCACTAAATTTCAAGCACGATCCAACCAACAACATCCATGCCAGCCACATCAAAGACAAACTTCTGAAAACAAAAGACAACACAACAAAAATTTAAAAGTATTGTTAAGGAAGCGAACTATATATGGTGGTGGAACAATTTGATGGACAGCGGGTTTCTCATCAGGAATTATGGAGCCCAGAAATTACTGACAGTTTTCAAGGGCTGAAAGACAACCATCAGCTTAGAAATAAGTAGACAACATCCAGCTTAAGTATACTTCAAGAGTGAAGATGAGGGCTGGGGGGCGGGGAGTGAGGGAGGGAGGCAGGGGAAAGGGGGAGAAATGACCCAAACATTGTATGCACATATGAATAAAAGAAAAAAAAAAGAATGAAGGTGAAATCAAGTCATTTTCTGTTAAAAGAAAAGGAAGAAAATTTGTTTCTGGCAGATCAATTGTCAAAGAATGGCTAAGTGATTGCCTCTAAACAGGAAATAATAAAAACGAGCTGTGGAAAATTAAGAACAAAGAGTAAACAACAGAAAGTGTAAAAGTGAGTTAAATATAATAGTCATTTATTCTGTTCAGTATTTAAAATTATGTTTGACAGTAGAAGCAAACATTAGAATGCTATCTGATGCAGTTCTCCGAAACAATAATGAAGAAGAAACCGAGAGAGAATGAGTGAGACAGGAAGGAAGAAAGGAAGGAGGAAAGGAAGGAAGGAAGAAAGGAAAGAAGGAAGGAAGAAAGGAAGAAAGGAAGGAAGGAAGGAAGGAAGGAAGGAAGGAAGGAAGGAAGGAAAGTAGGAAGAAAGAGAGAAAAACATTCTAGATTAAACTATGGTACTGGTGACAATTTTCTCTCAAGCCATTTGACAGTGTTGGGTCTCTGTGTGTCTGCTTCTGATTTTGCTATTACTTTTTTCTTCTAGGAATGGATTGTTTGGAATTATGAAAACTTGAAAGTCCATTGAAAACTTGACCAGAATTATTTTTCTGTTACTATTTTTGAAGCATATTATTTTTTGGCAGTGTGCCAGACTCTTGTCACTATAAGAAATACCTGAGATAATCAACATGTAAAGAGAAAAAGTTTATTTTATCTCATAATTTTAGAGGTTTTAGTCCATGGTTGCTTGGCCCTCTTGCTTTGGGTCTATGAAGAGGTAGAACATCACAGTAGAAGTATGTGGTAAAGCAAAACCACTTGCTCAGAAATTGGAAGCAAAAGAGAGTTTGGAGGGACCTGGAGTCCAAAAATCCCTTTCAAGGGTATGCTTTCAATGACCTAAAGACCTCCCCCCAGGCTGCACCTCCTAAAGGTTCCACCACCTTCCTAAAGCACCATAGGCTGAAGATCAACCTCCAACATGCAGACTTTTGTGTGCTGTTTATCAAAACCAAAGAAAACCATAATGATTCCTTGTTTGTCTCTTAAAGGGAGTCTCTGATGTTATTTACTATTGGTCCAAACAGGGCTGAGAAATTTAAGCAAAATACTTAGTAAATCTATGGATAATTCAAAATAAGTAATGAACACTTAAGTATTCAATCAGATTGGTCACTGTTAGATATGCAGGCTTTTCAAAGGTATTATACACATTAAACTTATCATCATCTTTTTCTTAAAGTTGAATATCACCAAATTTATAATGTTACAGTTTACTTGGTCATGGTTCACAAATGAAGGAGGAAACCAACCCTGTGGGGTTTTTGTTTTGTTTTGTTTTGGCAGTAGTGGGGATTGAACTCATGGCCTGCGCTAAGCATTCTATCCCTTTGAGCTATGTTTCCAGCCCTTTTTGTTTTAGTTATTTTTCAGATAGGGTCTCATGCCTTTTGTCTAGAACTGGCCTTGGTCCTACTCCTGCTTCTCACATAATTGAGATTGTAGGTAAGTATCATCACACCTGGCTTGTTCTTTTGAGACAGAATTTCACTAACTGTTTTGCTCAGACTGACCTAGAAGTGTGATCTTTTTATCTTTACTTCCAATGTAGCTGGGATTACAGATTGAACAACTGCACCCAACCATGTGTTTATTTCTGTAGTGGAATTATATTAGGATTTCATTTCCAGAAAACAAATTCTACTTATAAGTCATGGAAATGAAATAGACTTGAACTCTTACTTTTCTCTGTTATAAATTTTCAAGTGAAGCAAATAATTTTGGAACCTACTATATGTATTAGAAAAGATGTCTTATAAAGAGATGACTTTTGTCATGTTCTTAGCTACTTTGGTGGCTAAGAAGTAAGTTTTCATTTAAGCAGCAGGATACTTGGAAGATAGAAGAAGGATAGAAGAAAGGGGGAAAAGTAAATAACTTATTTGAAAAAGTTACTTTATGTTAGTTCAGCTATTGCTCAATTCAATTCTCTTTTCCATAGCTGAAGCCTAAATATTATAAATCAATTGATACTTTACAGAAAAGAAGACAACTTCTATAAAAATAGTACATAAATTAGTTGAAATTGGGCAACTAAAACATGGTGGAATCAGAAGTATTTTTCAGTCCTAGCTAGCTAATAATAACTTGTAAATTTAGGGTGTTTCTTGATCTTATTTTCCATTGCATCATTTATTTTATAAGGAGGATGATAACCACTATTTCAAAGTACATTGTGAGGATTAAATAAGATAACTATGAAAATACGAACCACAGAACTTAACAGAGAGTAATCCTTTTTATACAGTTATTGCCTATTCTGAAATCCCATCAGTAATTTCTGGTAATGTCATTTATTGATGTTGAGCTTTGTTCTTTTAATCAGAAGAACACAGAAACACTTGATGTGATGCAAAGTATAACTTTCAGGGTTGAGGGTGACTTTTCTTGTTATTACATAGTAGGTAGCTAGGTTCTCAAATTGAGGATGAATGCAAAGTATTCTGGCATTCTAAAGAAAATAACCATTGTTTGGTTTAAAACCTCTCAGTATTTATTGAGAGACATTAAAACTAATCTGACTGTTCCAAATGTCATCTCAGTATGCAAAAGATAAAGGGAAAAGGCAAAAAGATGGTGTCCTAGAAGTAATTAGCCAAACCTTCTGAGGGTGGAGTGGCAAGCTCTTTCAAAAGGGTGACAGAGGTACTCTCCCCTTTTTGGGGTCCAATAAAGAATAAGGTTGTGAGACAAATCACCTGCTAAAGTTCCTGAAAAAGATATTTGTTTTCCTTTCATTCTGCCCAGGGAAGCCTTTTCAGGCAGCAGGCTGACTGGTCTACCTTGTATCTATTTAAACAGAGGAAAAGACAACTGAAGAAAGCAAGGCCCAGAGATGCCAGTGGTAAAGAATAAAATCTCTTACCATTAGGCCTGGCAAGTGTATAGGGACTTCCAGTGGAAAGCTGGTTAGTCTTGGTTATGTTGCTGGCACTCAGTCAAGTACTGTGACCCACCAGAGGACCCATGAGCTTGACAGGGAGAGTTGAGCCTGGTAAGAGTGTGAGAAATCCCTGATCTGATATCTCCAAGCCTGGAATTATGCAAAGAAGGAATCCTACAGGTCCCATTCTGTAGGTTGTCTTTTCACTCTGGTAGTTGTTTACTTGCTTTGTAGCAGCTTTTTGTTTCATGCAATCTTATTTGTCAATTGTTGCTATGAGCTACTAGATCCCTATGCAGAAAGATTTTGCTTATTCCTATCTTCAAGTATTTTTTCTGTGATTTCCTACAGTAGTTTCAAATGATCAGGTCTTAAATTAAGGTCTTTGATCTGTTTTGAATTGTTATTTTCTTACAGGGTGAAAGATAGTGATCTAGCTTCAGTCTTCCACATTTGGATGCCTATTTTCCCAATACCGTTTGTTGAAAAGACTCTTTTATTCAACATATCTTTTTGTCACCTTTGTCAGGTGGCTGTAGCTATGTGGACTTATTTCTAGGTCTTCTATTAGTCCACATGTTTGTTTTGTGCCAGTACCACAGTGTTTTTTTATTATAGCTTTGTAGTATAATTTAAAATCTGAAATTGGAATATCTTAAGAATTATTATCAAAACTATATTGAGGTTACATCTCATCCCAGTCAGAATTGCTATTATTAAGAAAACAGGAGTGGAGGCATTGTTTAAGCAATAGAGCACCTGCTTAGTATACACAAAGCCCTCAGTTCAAATGCCAGTTCCATCAAACAAAGCAAAACAAAAGTAAACAAGGCCCCCAAACATTTTAACAGGTGAGGGAGAATTAAAAAAAAAAAAGAAAACAAAAACAAATGTTGGTGAGGATGGGAGGAAAAAGAAACCCTCATATACTGTTGGTGGAATTATAAATTAATGCAGTCATTATAGAAATTAGTATGGAAGTCCCTGAAAAAACTAAAACTAGAACTACCATAAAATCCAGCTACACCACTACTGGATATATATCCAAAGGAATCTAAGTCAGCAATACATATAACTGCACATCCGTGTTTACTGCAGCATTACTAGCAATAGCCAAGCCATGAAATCAGCCTGGGTGTCCATCAACAGATGAATGGATAGAGAAAATGTGGGATATATACACAATGGAGTATTACTTAATCATAAAGAAAAATGGAATTATGTCAGTTGCAGGGAAGTGGATGGAACTGAAGAGCATCATGTCAAGCAAAATAAGCTAGATGCAGAAAGAAAAGTATTGCATATTTTGTCTTACATGCTGTACCTAGATTTAAAAAGAGAAAAAAAAGAATATAAAAGTAGAAAGGGGACTATTTGGGAAAAGGAAGGGGATCTGTGGGAGGCAAGAGAGGTTAAGAGATGAATAGGATCAAAGTATATTATATATACATGTATATAAAAGTCACGATGAAACCCATTAAAAGTACAAAAGAGAGGGTGACAAAAAAGATTTCATACTTGTGCTTCAGAAAAAAATCAGAATTTGGATTCTACTCAGGAACAGTACATGGGTCCAGAAAAGCAGGAAGAACATTCAAGAGTTCTATTGCTCCTTCCTCTTCCCCTCTTCATGACCTCCTTCTTCCCTCATATACCCAGGAAGAGGTGAGAAGCTATAGTTTGGATCTCAAATGTTGCCCAAAGGCTCATGTGTTAAAGGCTTGGTCACCAGCCTGTGGCTTTATTGGAGTGTGGTAGGACCTTTAGGAGGTGGAGCCTAGTGGAAAGAAGTTTGGTCATTGGGGTGTGCCCTTAGAGGGGATTTTGTGTCTCAGCCCCTTTTTGTTTCTCTCGCTTTGCCTCCTGACCACCATGAGGTGAACAGGCCTCCTCTGCCACATGTCCCTGCCATGATGTACTGTGCTGCCACAGCTCCAAGCAACAAGGCCAACTACCATTGACTGAAAGCTCTGAAACTGTGAGCCAAAATAAATCTTTACTCTTTGGAGGTCAATTATCTCAGATATTTGGCCACAGTGATGGAAGGCTAACTAAGATGTGGTGAAAAGGGTGTAAAGGTATTTCAAAAACAGATTTTGTTCCATCCTTTACCCCCAGCTCCACCAGTCCACTCTGTTCAAAGGTTCTAGAAGATTTTAAGACTATTTAAACTTCAGACCGCATAACAAAAAGTCTAGCCAGCCATGAGGAAGGAGAATCTTTCATTTAAATTTTAGATTACAGTTTTCAGTAGGACTATACTGTCCTTTAATTACTAAAAGTGACAAAAAATTAGGGAATATGCTTGAGATATCATTTAAATGCTAGAAAACAATTTTTAATTCATGGTTGAAGTCAATAATTGAAATCCTTGTTTATGCAGTTCTGAGATGAGACAGCCCAGTAAACCATTTGTATATTCAAATGACAAAAATATTTAATTTAATTTAAAAACACTGGCTACTCATCCTATAATCACGACATGAAAAGACCAAGGGATTTTTGAAGAGTAGTTGATATAGTATTCTACTTCTCAAAAGCATTTAGATAATAATGATGACCCACAGAACGAGAACTGTCTTATCACTTTGTAGATTTCTTAGTGTTTCCAGGTAAATCAGTGGTTGTTCTGCACTAATTCATTGAAAAAAAATGAGCTTTTCCCTTCACACTCCTTGGTATACCAACAGCTTTTAAACAGGCCTATCAAACTAGTGATCATATAATGTGATTAAAATCATTTGGCGAGGAGAGTTGATCTCTATGGTAATGAAGGTCAAAATAACAGAGTATTTTACTTTTCATACTTCAAGTTCCCCTGATCTGACATGTTTCTTTAACACAGAGATTGATAGCAAATTTAGAATCCACTTTTAGTTATCTATGTATACTGGGATCATAAAACTATATGAATAGCTTCAAACTTTATTGCCTTGACAAAATTTCTGTTCAAGATTTAAGAAAAAACAATCATATCATTTATGTTTCTTCCTTCAACATATTCTAGGTATATTACTTCTCACCCTCTAATACTTTCAAGAATTTTTAAAATTATAAAATGTAGGCTACAGGATGATGGAGAACATAGAGGTATCATTGGTTCATGAACCAAATTTATATCAGATTATTTTAATTATTGATAAGTGACCCCAAATAGCATGAAAATTGGTGAAGATACCTCTATCAAAAAAGGAGCAGAAAATTCCCATCTGGGGTTCAGAATGGCATTCTTTTCCTGACACAAATGAGAAGATAATTACCTGAATGGGAGGTGCTTTTGCTCCCCAGTTGGGTTTCTGACTGGCTGTGGCTGACTGGTGTGAGGTCTTGGCAACTTTGGATGGGGGAGTCCCTTCCTGCAGAATCAGTGCCTGATGGCTTCTCAATATTTTTCATTTCCATTTCTTCATGATGGATCCAAAGATCAGGGGGTCGGAGGTCCTTCTGGCTGCCTTTCCTTTTGCCCACACTGTGGGTGGCCCGTTTTCTATGGAACAAAGTTAGAAGGCAAATGTGAGTGCCTCTTTCCAACGGTGCTTCCTCTTTTTCTTCAGTCAATTCAAGTTGGAAGCAGGGAAGGAAACAAAAGGACTCCCAGGAGGAATCCTGTGAAACCCCAAAATTGGCAGACTTGTCTTGGCTTCCTTTCCTCTTCTCCCCTAGATTCTCACCACATTATGGGAGATGTGGTGCTGTATCCCCAGGGCTTAGGCTGTCTGCCAGAAAGCTCCTTACTCCAGCTTTGCCGGCTGGAGATTCATGCACAGGTGACAACGGGTTAGATGGAGCCATATGCCAATCTTTGGAGGTAGGCATAAGGTACTTGACTGCAACATCTGTTTAGCAGATAAATGAAGGAGTTTCTTTGAAAGGGCAGATAGAAATAAAAAGGCCAGAATTTGTGCCAGCAGCTAAGATTGGGGCTTAGAAGAAAGTCTATACTTCAGCTGTATAACTTAATGTGCAACTGGGACTCTTGTTATTTGAAAACAAAAGGCCACCTGAGGACATTCTTAGGCAAATAAAACACTTTTGCCTTGGAGTCACTGAGTGTTTGAATTCAAACACAATGAGACTCCTTTGAAAAGAGAAGAGAAAGACCCGTCCTCTGGAAATGTGTTTCAAATGTCTCTTATTTGCCTCAACAAGGATTTAGCAACCTAAATTCATTTTTTTTCAGTGATAGTCTCATCTTTGGGCTAGTGCGATTTAAATGCTCTCTGAGGCCAGTCATTCTCTACAGCAAGGGGTCACAAAACTGTGGCTTGCAGACAAAAGCTGCCCAAGCCTGTCTTTGTAAATAAAGTTTCATTGAGATAAATCCAAGCTCTTGTTTTTCGCTGTAGTGGCAGAACTGAATACTTGTGATGGAGACTATATGGCCTGGAAATCCTAAACTGTATCTATCATTTAGCCTTTTTCAGAAACACATTTTGACCCTGCTAATACAATTTTATATTTGTTTAGTCTCCACTTGTGACTTCTAGCTCATTAAAAATCATCATGCCTCTTAGAAGGCAGAATGCAAACAGTTAAAATCTACTTTTGACAGCACCAGAGAAGCATCTCTTTCCCACTTTCCTCATTTCTAATAAGCAGCTTATTAAGATAATTGCTTTGCATTGTTGCTAAATGGCTCAAACAAGCTACTCTCAGTGAAAACCGTTTTATAACCTGTGCAAAGTCATTGGGAGTGGCTTTGCCCTCCCAAGTATTGAATAAGAAGTTTTGTAAATATTTGCCAATTAATAAATATTTGGTGGTATGATTTGTTGAATTTTCCTGACATTCTTTTCTGTCTTTCTTGAAGCAAGCTGATGAGACAGGAGACATGAACTCTAGTCTTAACACCTATTTTGTAAAGACATAATGTGTGTTTGCTACTCTAATATTTTCCCAACGACTACCTGTATTTTCCTGATACCCTGCCAGCAGCTCCACACTGTCTGCAGACAATGGAGAATAATGACTCCTAGATAATTTTCCTGTGTTTAAGATAATAACTCTACTAAGCACCATTCTCTGAATTCATTTCTTTGTAATTCACCTGCCCTCTTCAGCTGATCTGCGATTTGCCCAAGCTATTTTTGTAGTCTACCCTGGCTAATATTGGGAGAAGAATTTAATGTCATTCTCAAATTTGTAGGCTTCACCTAGTTGTCTGTCTCTCCTTCTACCAGACCAAAACACTAAATAACTTAATCCCCACATCTATGTGACAGTATACAGAAAAATATCAGTTCCCATATCCAGGAAAGCACAGTCAGATTCCTCATGATTACTCAATATTTAAATAGCCCATGGGAACAATGTCAAAACATTTTTGAGACCAGTAATAAATTATGAACTCTGGGTTACACATGTTTACATGCATGCTTTGTTCATTCATTCATTTGCCAAGTCCCCATCACTCCGGGGTCAAGCATTCCAGGCATTTTCTATTTTTAAAAAGAGTTCTAAACCTGAACTGATGCAGAACCTCTTTGTGGATTGCGTTTTATGAACTCATCTGGGAAGAAATTATCATTCCTGATAAAATTCATAAGCACTTTTCTGATGGATTTTAATTAGTCCAAGACCTCTACTAAGACTTCTCACACTGCCAGCTTATTGTCAGCAAAGATGTTCAAGATCTCTAAACAGACTATTTTGTTTCCTTTTGATATATATTTTATCAATAACCACTCAAGTATTTTTGTTTCTTATCAACTTTATTCAAAAGAGAACTCTTTGGCCTTGGAGAGGTTCCCACTCCACCCTCCCACCCCCATGACAGCAGGTGTGCAATAAAACTAACAAGTGCTCATCTCTAAATTCTGTGGTATTTTTCTTAAAACCTACAGGAACAGCTGGCACCCTGACCTTCTGCCCATCTGTTGGTTCTTTTACAAAATGACTGCTTCTCATTGTAGCACTCAGTTCTTCTGTTTCACCACTGGAATCTTTAAAGTGTTTAAGCAGATACTCCCAGTACAATGGTTCTCAAAGCAGAGTCCATGGACCAGGGTCATTGGTAGGAATGCATGCTCTCAGATCCTTCCTCAGAACAACTGACTCAGGAACTTGGGAGGTGGTGGGCAGCCATCTGTGCTTTAACAGCCTTTTGGGGGAACTCTAATGCACCTCAAGTTTGAAAAATGCTGTTCATTCATTTATTTTTATTTTAAGGCTAGTATTTCTATCAGACAAAGAATATCCATCATGTTTAACCCTTTGTAATACCAAATACATGTTTTTCCACAGTACCAGTGATCTTTCTGTTTCAAAACAAACAATGTTAAAATTGGATTGTCTCATCTTTCACCATGTATTCTTGAACAAAGGAAAAGCACAGAATTCTTCAATGCTCTCTCCTTTTGCTTTCTATTATCATGGCAAAGCTCTCATGGCATGGTTGAGCATTGGTGTTCAGATTGCTTTGCTTTGATTGTTTGTTGAACTTTTGCCCAGAATGCCTTTGTAGTCCTATTTACTTACAAACTTCTTATTTTTCAGGTTCCCCTCATCTTCTCTATTACAGCATGGCTTCCTAACCGCTAATGAAATCTTAGATTAGTTAAATCATTTCCTCATCTCTCTTTCTTATCACTTATCTTGCCATTGGATGCCAGGTGTCTTATTGAGTTGCTCAGCTGCTCCCTCTGTGGTAATCCCATTCCTACACAACCCGGGAACAATCTGCTCTCTTCCCTTCTCCAACATTATCCATTGTTTTATAGTATTTATTCATTTGTTTATTCAGTGAACATTTATTGGATATTGACTATGTGTCAAGAAATGTGCTAAGCACTACAAATATGAAGATGAGTGAGATACAAGGTGCTTAACAAATGAATGAAAAATAGAATGGTTCCTGAGAACATTCACATCATTAGAGTTAGATACATGGCAGGTAGTAAGGCTGAAAAAATAGAGGGTCCAAGTCAGGAGAGGCTTGCCTCCAACAGAAACATTTTGAATAATACCCACAAATGAGTGGGAAATTGCAGAAATATTTGCAGCTAAAGAATTAACACAAAGAAGATTTTCACATTCTAAACAAATAATGATTATGTCACTCAAATACAAAAGATTTTTCCGTTGTTGATTTTATAAGTTCTTTACCAGTTCTTTATCGTTTATCTCCTGCTTACTTTGCACTTAACCTAGTATTTTAAGAGGAGTTTCTTTTCCCTTTCTATCAGTTGGGGGTGTGAATAGGTTATATGCAACCTGTGCTGCATTTTCATTTTATTCAAGTCTGTGTCCATTTGAAGTTAAACTATTACTGTCAACTCACAGTTGTTTTTGCCTCATTGTAAGATATCATTTAGTCCCCACTATATGTTTAAGCATCCTTTGCTCAAGTTGTGCACAAGAGGCAGACAAATAAACAGTTCTGTATTAATTTCAGTGGTCAAAGACGTGCTCAAGATTGATGGCGTGTAAGGCAGGAGCACTCATCCCCACTAGTGTTTGGGGAAGGCTTCAGGAGACGAGGAGTCGACGTGAAGGTGTAAAGAAATGATTAAGCATAAATATCTTCCCCTCATTCCCCTCTATATTAGTCATTGCATTATATCAATGGCTAATAAAAATAAAATAAAACAACTTTTATTAGAAATCTAGGGCAAATTCTTGTCACTCAACTATATCTGTACTTTCTGAGATGTAATTAAGATATATTAAAGTCCTAAGAATTTGCCAGCTAAAATCCATGTGAGGTGAATACTGAAACACGGTTGAAATGTTAAAAAGCTGAAAATCAGTCAGTCACCTACAGAAGTTAAAATGCAGTGTGTTTTACTTGAGAGTTTAAACACTTGATCTTCAGCATCAGTATTGAAAATAATTATTTTTGTTAAGATATGAATATATGTTAATATTTAAAACTTGCCATGCACATGTCAAATCAACCAGAAGGCTCAACCAAAAAGTGAATCTATCAAGGGAAACTTACATTTCATTTACTCAGATAGATAACCATGTGTTTTGGATTTCTAGGACATATTCAATGTCAAATATTTTGTTTTTAGTATCTACATCTAGATTCTAACTAACAGAACATGTGATCTATATGTTTGCCAGGAAAAAGTTATTATTTTTAAAAAGCACAGGAAAACACCCATCAATTTAAGCTTTCATACAATATAATCATTCGGTATTATGATGTTCTACCATAATCTTACTAATAAAAATGGATAAGGGGATTCTCTTTGAATTACAAATTTTAATGAACAAATATTAAAAATAAGTGTAAAGTTTTATTTTATGTTGATTAAAAGCTAAATGTTACCCTACCCTATGATACTATAGTTTCGTACTATTCCATGGGGGGGATTTCTGTGTTTCAAAGGTAAAGCAGATGACTTGGTCCTAATTCTTATTATAGTTGAAGAAATTGACACTCAGGGATTAAGGGTCTTACCTTAGGTAACACAATTAGTTTAATTAAAGATATAATAGTACCAGAAGTGGAAAGTTAGTTACTAAATTTTGTTAGGTATTTTCTATGGCAAAAATGAAATCTTAGCCACTAGACTGTGACTCATCAGCTCTTGCATGTCATTAAACATATGTATAAATAAAAACCTATGATAAATTAGCGTGAAATGCATATATGCTATCTTGAATAGGTATTACTAATACTTCATAAGAATGTTTCAATCCACTTGGTGTAATAATTCAAGTCCCCAACCAATCTCAAGGAAAAATTTACATTCACTAGCAGTTTTAGACAAAGAGATATTAAAGAAGCCATGAATGTGCTTCCTACATCACCTTATTAATTACTGTAAACTCTCATTTTCTGAGAGCTCTGTAAAAAATCTTATTTCTGCTTCAGATTGGAATTGATTTTGCTTTTCATCTGCATTACTCAATTTGTTCCAAAGGCCTCATTGTGATGGTGTTTGGGGCAGTCTTCAATGAAATCAAGAGAAATTTCAATTAAAACTCAGAAGCAACTTGAAGAAAATTTTTTCTCTTTCTTTCTGCTAAGCATATGAAAAAAAACACAGAAAGATGAAGACCAATTGGTCTGCCAGTAGAAAAAAAATATAAAATCAAGCATGAAAATACAAGTAAATTTTAAGAGTTTTGGGGGTAGGCTGAGGAAAAACCAAATTAAATTAGAAATTTACTTTCTTTGTTTTCTCAGTCATTTGTGGAGTCATTTATTCTTTCATCCATTGCCTAATTCATAAAACAAGTTATACTTAGGATTCAGCATTTGTTCTTCTCAAATAATACAGCAAAGCTTGTACTAAATTGCTTAGAATAGGATTTACCATGATTTGAGACTTTCTCAAGATGGCCTCAAATTTCACTTTTACATATTGAGAGGACTGACATTTTCTCTGTAGAGAAACAACACGTTTATAATCTAGTTTATCAGCCAATTTGACCATCAAACATTCTTGGCACAATAATGATAACAAGGGAAAAAAACTAACATCAAGAAACAAACCCACTACAGATGGTTTAGTTAAATGATTTAGCTTAGTGAATGCGTGGATGTTTTGAAAACCATTACAAAGTAGAATGACCATGGTTTTGGTGCTTCCTTCTTCTTCCCTTTATGTGATTTTTCTCAGATCTGCTTCAGAGACCTAAGGTCTTGATGTTCTACCATCCCATTTGCACAACCTCTTTTCTGGGAACATTGGACCAAGAGATTGGTCAGTGGTATGGTTTGTCATGGTTTGTCTCCACTGAAACTCATATCTCCAGCGTAAGGTGTTGAAAGGTATTGGGGCCTTTAAAAATGATTAATGCTTTTACTATAGGAATGAGTTCTTGAGCTTATGAGGATGGATTCATTATCACAAAGGTAAGGCCACCTCTCATCTCTTGTTGCCTCTTTTTTCATTGTAGGCCCACTTGTTATTCTGCTTTTTCGCCATGCGTATAGCAGCCAGGAAGTCCTCACAAGAAACAGATCACCCCAGGGTCATGTTCTTGAACTTCCAGACTATGAGCGTAAAATAAACCTCTCTGCTTTATAAGTTATTCAGCACCCAGGTATTCTCTTTATGGAAGCAGAAAATGAACTAAAACACATACTCATTTAGTTCTTTTACCCCTAGAGACTTATCAAGTGCTCAGCATTCAGGAAGCTCTGTGATCTTTTTTCAGAATGCTTACACATGAGGCTGGTCTCAGTAAGCTCATTCCATCAGGTTCTCATTTGGGCACAATGAACCAGCATGCAAGTGATTACCAGCTTCAAAATAATCCAATGCTATAAGTGTAGGTGGATATAAAATTTGTTCTGCCATAAAAATAAACTAAATCTAAAAATTGCCCCTCTACCTGTGTGACACTTTTTTCTGTTTCTAAACACCTCACTTCAGAGTGCTGAGTGATTCACTAGAGAACAACAAATAGAGTTACAGGATTTGTAGAAGAGAGAGAGTCTGCTAATAGCAAGAGAAGAGAGAAAAGTACTTTCAGGAGAATCCTTGTCTGGCAATGACTGTAAATATAGTTGTCAAACCAGCTACCTCTGTGCCCATGCCTCAGGCTTTCAGAACTAGCATTATGCTTAAGGCTAAAAAAATATTCTACCCAGTGAAGGAGAACAGTGGAAAAATACATATCAAACCAGATTTGAAAAAAGACTAAGAAATAAAAGAGGCAGAGAATAACTAGGATATTATGGTTCAATCCCAGAATTGGTGGACACAAGGCAATTTTGCTGACAATTGAGTGCTTTTGGAATGGAAGTAACTTCATTAAAACCCTATTTTCATTCTAATCTTTGTGTTTTGATCCAACATTTTGTGCATGTGTTAGAACTTGTAGCTATATAATATGAACATATTTTTTAACATCTCAACAATTTTAATTTCTGACAATTAACCAGAACTAAGAAATATGAACCCTTTCGAATCTCTGGAATCTCTTTTCTTTCTTCACTACTGCCTCTCAGCTGAGCACTCCACAATTTGTAATACACTGAGTTTGGTATTCTATATTTTGTTATCCATTCAGTGAGCATTGATTAACTGCCGACAGGCCTCCCTGTCACAAGTGATAAAGTACTCATAGAGAAGCAGACTCCACAACTGTCTGTAGGATTGAAGAGAGAGCCTGAAGCACAGACACCATGGAGTCCAATCTCTGTTGTTATATACAGAGCTTCTGCCCTGTCTTGAAGTGAAGAATCTGGCCCTGAGAAGTAAAAGCAAACAGAAAGGCAAGTGGGTCTTTAGGGATTCTATTGTGCAATCTGCAAGTTTAGCTATTACTTAATTATAAGCTTAGAATGGACAAAAGGCAAAAAAGCAAGACTTGCTTGGGTCAGGAGATAAGGAACAGGTGACAAATTATAAAGGCACACAGAAAGACTACCAAGAGTACAACTCTCGAAGATGGTGATTGCCTTCCTCTTGGGTGTTGGGTGTGACTTACTTTCTCTGCTGGGCTGAAGAGCGCCGAGTGCAAATCACTGCCACAATCACCACAACCAGCACTGTGATGATGCCAATGGTGACTACGATGATCACCAGTAGATTGCTGTTCTTCTGAGGGGTGACACTGCCATGTGGTGGGTGCATCTGCCCAATGGGTGGCTCTGAGAAAACACAAGCATATGGGATTTAAGATCAGGGAGAAGTTACTGCCAGTGTTTAGTAAGCTCTTTAAAGAATGGAAAAAGTTCTTAAAGTACCTGCCTAGCAAATGCAAAGTCCTAAGTTCAAACCTTAGTTCTGCCAAAAAAAAAAAAAATGTTTTCCTGAAGCAGGGAAAAGGTGATAAAAAGTGAGAGGAAAACACCTACAAATTTCCAACCAAGATGAATAACTACAAATGTCCACACAAAATCATGAGCTGACTACTGTGGTATATCCTTGTAATGGAATATTATCCAGCTACAAAAGGGACGCATACCACATATGGAAGAACCATGAAAATTTTAGGCTAAGTAAAAGAAGCCAAACAAAGGTCACATATTATTTGATTCTACTTCAATGCAAAAGACAAATTAACCTTTTTTTCCACAAATAAATATAACTGAGTGCTTGCAAAATTGAAACAATGTCTTTTGACAAGTTACCTAAGATTATCACTTTTATGAAAAAATAGTTACATAAATTTAGATAAATTATTACTGATTCATTATTACTGGAAAAATAATAAGCATGTCTGATATAACCTAAATCCCAGAGGGAGGAACTCATCAAAGTCTTTAAATAATGTTTTCTGTTAAAAGATTCTGATTATAAATGAAAGAAATAAGATTTCTTTGAAGTGATTTTTATATTTACTACAAAGAAATAGGACAAGTAATGAAAGGTCAGAACTTTCTGTAACATAGCTTTACTTATTATTTGAAAAGTTATTTTGTAGTATTATCTTAATATGCCCTTTATGTGCTTAATAAATTAATTGGTTGGAATAAATTAACCTTTTGTGTGAGAGCTTACAAGAGAGATGTTTCAGGGTCTCATGGTTTTTATTAGCATGATTTAAATTCAACAGTTTAACAAACTTAGTATGAATTACACATAATAGCACGCCTATGAACATTTTTTTAAAACCTAGTAAGACAGAATTATTCAAATATCTTTCTACCCAAGAAGCTATCATATTTTAACTGAGAACATAATGAGTCTGGATCCTGCTGAGCAAGAGTGAGATTATACTGATGTCATTTTCCTTGGAGAGTTAGGCTGCAATAAGGATTCCCATTAGAGAGCTTTGATGCCAGGTCTTCATGATTTTTTAAATAAAAGTTTCCATCATTTAAAAACTTAGTATTTGAGGTCTTTTATCAATTTCCAAATCTCAAACCATAATATCTGACATCAATTGTGACATTAAGAAAATCAAGTACAAGGGCTACTTTGTAATCTCTGTTACACAGGGGACAGATATCAGGAGGATCATAGTTTGAGGCCAGCCTGAACAAAAAATTAGCAAGACGTCTTCTCAACCAAGAGTTGCATGTGATGGTATGTATCTGTTATCCCAGCTATGCAGGAAGCATTAATAGGAGGATTGTGGCCCAGTCCAGTCCAGACAAAACCATGAGACCCTATCTCCAAAATAACTAAAAATAGAAAGGGATGGAGGCATGACTCAAGTGGTAGACAACTGCCTAGCAAGAACAAGGTCTTGAGCTCAAACCATAATACCATCAAAAAAAAAAAAAAGTAGAGTACAATGTTGTTTTTAGATGTAGCCAATTCTTGCTACTTGCAGTAGTTTTTCTATAAAGTTGCCACAAACACTGAATTGGTGAATATTGAGCTATTACTTCTTGTTGGATACTTGCAAAATTAATATGATATCTTCTGACTTGTTATTATGAATTGTTTGAAAAGGTAATTTCCAGGTTAGGCACAGTGGCTCATGCCTAGAAACCCAGCTTCTCTGGAAAGAGAGTTCAGGAGCACTGCTGTACGAGGCCAACCCAGGCAAAAAAGTGCAAGACTCTTATCTGAGAAATAACTAAAGCAAAAATGGCTGTGGGCATGATTTAAGTGGTAGAGTGCTTGCTTAGCAAATACAAAGCCCTGAGTTCAAATCCTAGTATTACCAAAATAACAACAGCAACAACAACAAAAAAAACCCCAAAGCTACCCAAACTTAGATAAATTATTATTGATTCATTATCACTGGAAAAATAAGCATGGCTGATATAACCTGAATCCAAGAATGAGGGACTCATCAAAAAACTTATTATAAATAAAAGAAATAAGATTTCCTTGAAGCAATTCATACATTTACTTCAAGAGAACAGGTTAAGTTCTTGTGAGCCTCTGATCACATTTTTATCAAACAATAAATATATAACCTATATTATCTGTGCTTTATTTAAAGACACCCCTTTAATGTATAACATTCAGTCACTAATACTCGTTTTGCAGGCAGCAGCACTATAAATGTACCTGAACAAAGTTAAATACATGTGTATTTTCTATAAAGGACATCATAGTCCTCATATGCTTAGAAACACCAGAGAGCACTTCAGCATTATGTTGTAGGACAATTTTAAACAGTAAAATTACCAAAGTGAAAAAAATTGCAAAATAAAAAAGAAATGGCACTAAATATACCAGAAAAAGCGCACTCATTTATTTTATAGCTAAAGCAAGAAGGAAGAGTCTTTGCTTCATCTGACCTGGCTATATGAACCTTCGACAATTCAAATTTTTTGTTACTTTGTTCATGTCTATGAATGAGCACAAAAGCACCATGAGTTTTGATATGCAGGTTGCAATACATTCAAATACACATAAGTGAATTCACAAATATGTAATCTGTAGAGAATGAGGACTGACTCTATCTCAAGTCATGAAAAGACTGATCTGAATTAGGAGAGAATTTAGAGCTCACAATTCAGGAGGACTGTAGTTGGGAGCTGTGAGTGTGGGAGGCTGCCTGACTCTAGAAAGGTAAAGAACATTTGCTACCTTTCTGGCTTTGGTGGGGAAGCTGCAATGGGGCAACCCAAAGGCTTGCACAAATCCTTCAGGGTGCTGTGATTATTCCATGAGGTAATGGAATATACTGACCACAGGCCCTGGCACAGAGCTGGCCCTCAATAGACATTCTGATGTAGCTTAATGTATTTCATCTTATGAGATTTTTCCCAATATAAAGAAGAAATATAATGTATTAATATAGTATCTGTTCCTGGTGTTAGTATAGTTGTGTGCACACCCATTACCTGAATAACTAAGACTCACATGTACATCCTGAAACTTGGTGAGAAATCAATTTTTTTTTTCATAATCTCGGCATTCCGTTTGGGTTTGGGTGTTGAACTTGGGGCCTTGTGCTTGCTTGCTAGGCAGGTGCTATCTCACTGGAGTCACTCTATCAGCCCTCCATTCAGTTTTTATTTTCATGATGTTTGATCATAGTAAAATGTTTCATCTTTTTTACTGGACCACTTAGTAAAAGCAAATATATATATTTAGTAATGTAATGGGTTTAAAGTCAGTGAAGATTGTAAAGTTTATTTAGTAAAATAATAATTAATTTTTTTCTAAAACAGAATGGCCTTTCAGAAATATTTATGTTCATTATGAAATGTTTCCCTCATAAAGACTGCAGCAAGTTTGCTGATAGACCACATCTCTGAGTGTTTCATTACATAGAAAGCAAATCAGGTGTTGAATATGGAAGCTACAGCTTCTATTTTGAGGAGCTGATCCCCTTGCAGTCATGATTGTGATCAAACAACTATACAACATCTATACACAGGTAAAAAATGAACATAAGAATGGCAGTTTCAATTTGGAAGAAAGACCTGATGAAACTTACTAGTTGAGGTCTCATTATCTTTTTCATAACTGCATTCTTCTCTTATAACAGTTTTGTTATTATTAGAATAGTCCGAACTCAACCTAAGTCTTAATAATTTTACACATACTCTAACTTGAACAGAAATTCCTATGGCTTTGAGCATTTCAATGCACTGTTTCTTAAAATTGGATGCTATAGGCAATCAGCCTAAAGAGACTCACAGTTAATGAAGCCTAATGTTCCCTAAAATGAGGTATATTCATCAATGCTACGGGGAGAAAGTTCTTTGGTTGATTAAGTTGTAAAAAGTTTCTTGTTTTAAGGATGGTAGAGAGTGTATGCAATTCCTCTACAAACGTGTGTCGAAGAATCAGTTAAATGCTGAAGATAAGTTTTGGTCAAAAGAGGCATAATTGTTGACATCATGCAACTTACCACTTATTGGTAAAGACTGATGTTAGATGAAACATGACTCAAATGATTATAAATTACAATTTTAAGTGGTGCTAAAAGAATGTAGATGGGTTCATATAGCTAGATAATGGGATATGGACATATGGTTGTTGGTGGCGGCTCATGGAAGTGCTCATTATGGAAGTAGCAGATATGCTGAATCATCAAGTATGTTATTACATCCTGTTCCTTCACAAGGGAACAGAGAGTAGGCTATGTATCTGGAATAATGGGAACAAAAAAGACAGGCATGAAAATGGAAGGAACGAGAAGCAGGACCTATCATATGAAACTCTGTAAATCACGTTCAGTTTCTAAAATGAAATCATGGACTATTTAAGGTTTTCAGCAAGTCTGTGATAGAGTTGATTGGTTTTAAGAAAACCCCTTTGACTACTGAGTGGAGAGGATTAGTGGTGGAAGCTGAGAGGCCACCTAAGAGGACACTGAAGTTCTCCATATGGAAGGTGAGGACGATGATGAGAAGGCAGTGAATGCAACCATCTAAATGGATGATTGTACAGTGTTGTCTGAAAAAAAAGGCCCAAAACACAATCTGGACACTGGAGAGAAGCCAACTCAACCAGAGTCCTTACTTCTGAGATGCAATGAAGGTGAAGGTGAAGGATCAGAGCGGGAAGAGCAAGTCTTTAGCCTGGAATACACTAGAGTGGGAAGCTGATGATACACGTTAAAAGTCAGCTATAAGGTCTGAATCAGAGCTACAAATTTGGGAGTTGGCACACAGATGGAATTTGAAGACTCAGGAATATATGAGATCACCAAAATCAAGAACATAAGCATAAGCACAAAAGTTCTTTTAGAACTAAGACCAGTACTATTCAAGGAGAAGGGAATGTACTG